AGCTGATAGAATCTGGCCCAGGGAGTGCCACGGCGGCAGGCAGGAGCCCCGGGGGCTGTAAGCTCCGTCCACTCTCCCCTCACCTGCCTCACAGAAAAGGAAAAGGTGGCCTTCCCCGGCTCCAAGTCATGGCTTCTCCAAGATGGTCTTGGCATTCTCCCATACCTGCTCTGTGACTATGCTAAACCCTCCCTTTCCCTGTGTGGGCAAGGAGCTCCAGACCCAGGCAGGGGCCCAGCAAGGTAGCTACGTGACCCCTGCTTCCTCCTGTGGGCGGTGCCTCACCAGTAAATAGGATGCAAATTCATGATGACTTCACAGGGGATGTAGGAATTAAGAGACTTTGCATATGAAAGCCGCTGGACAGGGCGCCACACACACGCACACCCAAGTGCCCGTACACATCACCACCCTGGCACACACATGCACCCAGCAGCTGGCTGAAGTCCAGGGGGGAATGTGGACCTGCTCTTACAGGCCTTCTAATGAGCTGCTGGGGTTGGTTTGCTTCAAAACCAAGCAGGGAGCAAAGCCAGCCTTGCCCAGATGCCGGCTCCTCGGTCCCGCTCTCCTCACCCAGGGCAGCGGCCCTAGAGCAAGACTGGCTTGGCTTCTTCCTGGGGCTCCCTGCCAGCCTGGCTCCGATCCCACCTCTGTATCGCACACGTGTCCCTCTGCACATGGACAGCTAAAGGCAAAGACATCTCTGGGACACCTTTGTCCCCCAACAACTCTGCAGAGGGCAACATATCCCCCAACTCCATTCCCAGCACACACCCTTTGTTCCAGAATCTTCACGTTCTGTAAACGGGCCCTTCCCAGACCCTTTGCACCACTCGGTACTGCTCTCCTCCCCACTGTGCCACATGAGGAGCTTTCCAGCGCTCTCCCGCAGCCGAGCCTGCCACATTTTCCTTCGAGGGTCTCGCCTGCCATCACCACTGGGTGGACAAGGTCCCCCAGTCTTGGCCTCGGGCCAGCCCTGCTCCCAGGCCGCACAGGGCTCCTGACCAGTTGTCTCTGGAAGGCTCCCTGAGCCCTGGCCGGCCACACAGGCTCCAGCCCGAGTCGCCTCTCCCCACCCAGGCTTGGTGCCGCCCTCTCTGCCCCCCTCCTAGCCCTGCAGCCCGACCTCCTCCGCCCATGCACCTGGAGGAAAATGCCCTCCACCCCGTGTTGCCCCACAATCCACTTGACTCCCAGGCCAGGTAATGTTTATAAACCACAGCTTCATTCTTTTGATGTCTTTGTTCCAAAATCTCTAATAATCCCCCACCTGCTAAATGATGTTCAGCTGCGTCTACCTGGAACCGTGTACCCTCCGCCTGGATGGGGCCTCCCTGCATGTCCCTGCACACAGGCCACACGGGGCGCGGAGTGGCCTGCCCTCCTCTAAAAGTCTTCCCAGCCGGCCCTGCCACCTCCATGTTTGGACCCCTGCCTGACATCCACCCTCTCAAGGCCCTTCCTGGCATTTCCAGTTCAGCATGGGCTGGGTCCCGCCCACAGGACTTCTCAGCCCCACTCCTCTCACCCATCTCGCTGGTAGCTCCTACAGGAGGTGACCCCGCCTCACAACAGGGCTGGTGTCACCTGCAACCCCCACCCGCACCCAAGCATGAGCCGCTGGGGACAGGGACAGCTGACCTTGTGTCTCTCTTAACATAGCTAAATATGGGTCCCTGGCCTAGATGATTGAGGGGTGAACACGTGGCTGCAGGGCCAGGGCTGATGCCCATCAAAGAGGGCAGAGTCGGGTAGCCCCATGTAAGGGGGTGGCCCCTAACATCTCGGGGCCTGGCCCAGACCACCTGTTCAGGGTTGAGGAGGGGGAGAAATGCAATGGTGGGCACAGGAGGGGCCGATGTGGGGTCTGGGCAAGGCAGAGGCCAAGTTCACTGCCATGGTGGGGCTGTTTCCAGCCAGGGTCAGGAGCACGGGGGCAGCCTTATGGCGGGTCAGACATAGGCAGGGGGACAGAGTACAAGGCACCAGGGGAAGGCCAGGGACAAGACAGGCCGGGGGGGGACAGAGTGCAGGGCACCAGGGGAAGGCTGGGGACAGGACAGGCTGGGGAGGGGGGACAGAGCACAAGGCACCAGGGGAAGGCCAAGGACAGGACAGGTGTGGGGGACAGAGCACAGGGCACCAGGGGAAGGCCAGGGACAAGACAGGCCGGGGGGGGACAGAGTGCAGGGCACCAGGGGAAGGCCAGGGACAGAACGGTGGGCGGGGGGTTGGGGGTAACTGAGCACAGGGCACCAGGGGAAGGCCAGGGACAGGACAAGCCGGGGGGCGGGGGAGACAGAGCACGGCACCGGGGGAAGGCCAGGGACAGGACAGGCGGAGGGGGAAAACTGAGCGCAGGGCACCAGGGGAAAGACAGGGACAGGACGGTGGGGGGTGGGGGAGACAGAGCACAGGGCACCGGGGGAAGGCCAGGGACAGGACAGGCGGAGGGGGAAAACTGAGCGCAGGGCACCAGGGGAAAGACAGGGACAGGACAAGTGGAGGGACTTAGTGCAGGGTACCAAGGGAAGGCCAGGGACAGGACGGTGGGGGGCGGGCAAACTGAGCACAGGGCACCTGGGGAAGGCCAGGGACAGGACAGGTAGGTGACAGCCCCCATGACCCAGAGGTGGCTGCCGAGGTGGGGTGTGTCCCACTTTATCCCGGAAGAGAGGACGGGATTGGCTGTGGCGCCTGGAGAGGAAGTGAGGCTGGAGAAAGGGCAGGACGGAAGCACAGGGCTCGGCATTCCCAGAAGGGCCGGCGGGTTCACATCACCCTGGGGAGGAGGGCGGGGATACTCACGCTGTCCACTGCGAGGATCTTGGCCCAGATGAAAACGAGAAGTGGCCGCAGCTCTCGGGCCGAGCTCTGGAGCAGCTTCAGCACGTAGGGGAAGATGCCGACAGACAAGGCCTGGGGGAGAGGGAGGGCGTCAGCGCGCCAGGGCTCTGCCTGTGCCGCAGCGAGGGAACGGGCAGCAGCAGGGGTGCCACGCGGGACCAGCTGCAGTGTTATCTTCAGCACATATGGGAAACGCAACAGGAATGAATGGGCCTCACTTAAAGTAAAGAGGGGTTTCCTCCAGATTTATTCATCTCTGATTTATTCCTAGAAGCTGCCACGTACTGCTAGCCTTGACTGGTGTCAGGAGACTGGAGTTAATCGGGCCGCAGCTTTTCCTTGTGGAGGCGCAGGCTGCTTGCGCCTGGGGCCCTCGCCTGCCCTCGGTGGCCCTGTCCGCTCTCAGCAGCATGGCATCGGGCGCCTTCACTGTGCTGTTCACGTACGAGCCACGGCCACTTCTCCGTGACGGCGTGGCCAGCTCGCTCAACACTCACATCAGAGCTTCAGATACACCTTGGGAGAAGGACGCCTGCCCTGGGAAAGGCAGGGAGGAGGAGGAGGGGTCGCCCAGGGGCTCGCTGGCGCCTGGTTCTGGTCACGTGTCATTCTCATTCTCAGGGGACTCTGCCCTCAGAGGCAGGGGAGGGACAGTGTGGAGGGCGTTGCCGCGTGGAGGATGCCTGGCAAAGTATGGCTGCACTCGACAATCAGGGGTTTCTGCTGTGTCCTCATCTCAAAGCTGCTGGAATTTCACAGATATTCCAAAGGTATCCCTTTCCAATAAGTGAGCTCCCCTACAACCAAGACAGGAAGTGGTGCTGGGACCCAGGCCTGGGTTCCTTCCCCATGAAAGGCCACATTTAACAAGGAAAGAGCAGTTTCTCTGGTTCAGGTGCCTGGGCCCTCACCTGAGAGGCAAAATCTGTACCTGTGAAAATACCTCATTTATCCAGCCTTGGTTCATGTGTTAGCAAAATTGCCAATGAGCAGAAGCCTAATTCTTTAAAGGGAAGAAATTGGTTTTAAAATATTAATCTTAAACATGAACCTCTTTCTAAAATGTTTTTTATACATGCTTCCTGTCTTCTTAGAGTGCCAGCAATACCACGCAGGCCTCTCCAGGATGGCAGAGTGACACCACCACGCACACACCGAGTGACCGAGTCACGCCAGCCTCCTCCGATGACTCAGGCCCCGACTCTGTTACAAGCTATTTGTGGCCTCAGGCACCTGGAGTGAAAATGGCCCAGTGGTGAGTGTTAAATAATTTTTCCTAGTTTTGGATGTTTTCTCTCCTCCTTCGGTGCTGGACTATCAATTACCACTCTTTGTCAACATTATATGATGCAAATAAATACATCAGACCCCAGGTACTCACCACCCAGCTTCCGTGACAGCGGCTGTGCACCCACCGCCCCACTGCACCGCTCCCAAACACAGTAAGTTAAGGCTCAAATGTCATGTGATTTCACTGGTGAATATTTAGTGTCTATCTCTAAAAAATTAGGTCTCTTTTATAAAAACACGATCCAGTACCATTACCACGATCCAGTACCATTACCACACCCAAGAAAAACGAACAGTGATTCTTGAATAACATATAAATCCAGCTCCTGTAAAATTTCTGATTGTTTTATAAGTATTCATTTTTGGAACTTCAACAGAACCAAGTAAGGTTTACTGTACACGGCAACTGGCCGTAGGTCTCTCGAGTTTCCTTGACTCTGCAGTTCCCTCTCAGCCTCCTTTAACTTTCCCTGTGAGTTATTTGTTAAGCAGGTGTCGCTTCTTGATCCTGCCTCTGCCAGGCTTTTCTTTTAGTGGCCATCACTACTCTGCTATAGGATGAGGAACCAGACGAGCGTTTCCGAATTGTGCCTGCCATGACGGTGAGCAGACAGTGCTGAGGATCCAGACTCCTCCTGGGGGAAGCAGCAGCACGCGGCGGGCGCTGCGACAGGCTCAGGGACGCCCTGCTCCTCCCCAGCGCTGGGCGGCCGCTCGGGAAAAGGTGACCAGCCAACACGCTCACGCCTATGTCTAACATCGGACGTACAGAGGGGCGACAACCCCAGAACCCCAAACGCCAGGCAGCACTGCAGGCTGCACGGGTACAGAGTGGACTCCTTGAGGGCCTGAGGATCGACAGAACACCACCACGGCGGACACACTCACCCTGGGTCTCACGGCTGCGGGTGGCTCTGGATCATGAAATACGTGCACAGACTGAAACACGGAGCCTAATTTCTGTCCCACCTCCCTCAGCCCCCAGGTTAATGAGGAAGGCACGTACCAGGCTCACTGCCCAGGGACCCAGGTCCAAAAATCTTCCAAGCAAGTCCAATGCTCTCAGCCGGTGCACTTGGCTTAACAGCACCTGGAAGAACAAGAAGAAAATGGTATCACTGCAAACCATACTGGTGAGCAGCCCCGAAACGCTGCTGCACGAGCTGCCAGCTTTGGAGCGGCCCGACCACAGTGCAGATCTGTCTGCTGCCTCAGTCACAGTTACCTAGAGCCGCTGCTCCTTTCCTTACAAGTTCATGCTTTTAGACAGGTGAAGAAAACATGCTTTATTCCTTTATTACACAGATAAAACACGCTCAATGTAGATAATATTAGAACAAACATGTTTTAATTGCATTTAAAAAGCTAACTCGCTGGTGATATTTTGGTATACGAACCCAGACATTGTTCTCTATGTCCACACTTCTCTTATTGATTCTGAACTAGATAATATGTGACTATATTTCTCAGCTCCTTTTTTAACTAAATAATGCACCGTGAACATTGTTCATGTCACTAGGTATGTACTGACCATATCATTCCCAATGCCAGCACAGTACTTCCATTACACAAATGTACACAACTCTTTTAAACAACTTCCCCACTTATAGATATTCAAATTATCATCAAAATGTTCCTACTTTTAAAATTTTTATTTATTTATTTTTGAGATAGGGTCTTGCTCCATTGCCGAGGCTAGAGTACAGATGCCAGGTCACGGCCCACTGCAGCCTCAACCTCCTGGGCTCAAGTGATCCTCCCACCTCACCCCTGAGTAGCTAGGACCACAGGTAGGTGCCACCATGCCTGGTTCATTTTTGTATTTTTTATAGAGATGGGGGGTCTCACTACATTGCCCATGCAGGTCTTGAACTTCTGGCTCAAGCAGTCCTCCCACCTCAGCCTCCCAAAGTGTTGGGATTACAGGCGTGAGCCATCGTGCTGGCCAAAATGCTGCTTTTATAAATAACACTGTGATCAATATCCTAATAGTTACATCTGCACACTCACACAATTTTTTCCCAGTAAGATAAATGTGGGTATTAAAAAGGTAAGGTCAGAGCATTGATACTTCAGTTACCAAATGACCCTGCGGCTGACCCCACTCACACTCTCGATGGCCCCCAGCAGCGCTCACTGGGGTGTGACTCTGGACAAATTACTTAACGTTGCTGAGCCTTGATTTATTAATTCATAAAACACATATAACACAACACCTGCCCATAAGAGTTGCATTAAATTAAATAACAAATCTAAAGCTTGTGGGACAATACTAGCCCATATTACACTATGATTAGCCAACAGGACAGGGGAAAATACATCCTTTTGTTCTGGATTTCTTGGATTTCAAGGGGAGGACATTTTGCAGGTTGATGGGTCATTTCCACAGTAAACTTGCCCCGCATGCCTTTAGTTTTCTACTTCAGTATGTGGCTTTTTCTTATTGACACGTCAGAGTTCCTTATAAATTAGAGTGGGCTTTGCCAGAGGTTTTGCACATACTTTTTTTGTTATATCAGAGTTTCACACTTTTTTTTGAGACAAAGTCTCGCTCTGTTGCCCAGGCTGGAGTGCAGTGGCCTGATCTTGGCTCACTGCAAATTCCACCTCCTGGGTTCACGCCATTCTCCTGCCTCAGCCCCCTGAGTAGCTAAGACTACAGGCACGTCCCACCACGCCCGGCTAATTTATTTTTGTATTTTTAGTAGAGATGCCTGAACACACAGACCCCAGGAGGCCCTGACCTGGCCTCACTGGAGGCCCCGGAGGTTTTCCCTCCCCGCAGGAGAAGATGCACAGGACACAGCTGGGCAGCGGGTCCTGGAGGTGACGTGAGGGGGTTACCGCGTTGCAGGTAGAGAGGCTGGAAGAGCTCGGGTGTCTGAGG